AGTCAGCATACATCCATTGAAATCAAGCTGCTCTCTGATGCAGAGTCCCAGAATTGCCACCACTTTGTAGTGAGACTCAAAGCAAGCCATCCAGCCTGTCTGCAAAATGGACATAAACCTCTTTACTCTTGCACAGGGGTGATATGAAGCATAATTAGAGTTTGTAAAGCACTTTCCATCTGCAGCAGAATTGCTGGTGCATGAGAGATAATGGAATTAATTGTTCAATAAATCCAAACTGGTCTCTGTTAACACACAGGAGAGTCCTTTGAAAGTGAATACAAAAAGAGGGAGCTGAAAACCAAAGCAACTACAGATCTGGAGAAGGGGAAGAGCCAAAGTGCACAAAAATAAACCAAACCCCCGTGTATAGTTCAAGGGGTGACTCTATTGTACTCAGACAGATTCCCACTGGACGCAAATGACCTAGGGTTTGGCCCAAGGGTTGGAAGACAAAGCAACAATTAAAGAAAAGGTAGCTAATTAAACACCCTTCCCCTCCTCCCCCCATAGGGCTGGAAGCCTCTTGCATGATTTGGAATTCCTGTGGATTTCTTAATTTGAGAGATAAACAGCAAAGAAAACAGTATCTGGGATGGAAGGCAAAGCAGCCAATGGACCTTGGCAGAATGAAAATACAAGCGTGATTGATGTTTCCCTGGGGACTCAGCAGAGCTACCCCCACCCCTGCCGCTCAGGTCACTGGATTTTTATTAGTGTTGTTACGTCCAGAGATAAGTGGGATGATGAGAGGCTGTGGGGGCTTGCAAAACTGTTACTTGACCAGATGCCTCAAACTTCTTGAAATATAAATTCTTTTTTTTTTGGTGATACATATGGTGAACTAGGTGCCGTGCCTGTGAGTGATCGGGATCACTTACTTGGACGGGCAGGGTCTCTGCCAACTGTATCCACTGCTGCCCATGCTCTGCCAGTTTATCTCAATCTTCTTCAGTGTTGGATCCCTCCTGTGCAGAGGCTGATGATCATGCACATCACAAACCCACTGCCAGAATGAAGGCAGATGGAGACCACGAAACTTGTCTTGGTTGGACTTGACTGATGATGTGCAGAGACTGAAAAGCGAATGGAATAAGCCATCACCCCATCTGGCTTATAACTAGTCTTACTTGTTTTACAGCAGCACCTGGAGGTCCCAGTCGAGATCAGGGCCGAGTGCTATACAAACTTAGTGAGGGAGTCCCTGCCATGAAGAGCTCACTGTTTAGACCAGGCAAAGTGAGAGAGGGGAAACTGAGGCAGGGAGAGAGATGAAATGACTTGCCCAGAGTCACACCCAGCAGGCCACTGATAGCTAAGGGGGAAAAAAGGAGTAATCTGTAGCCTCCATTTGCACTCCTGTGAGTTTTCCGTAAATCATTCGTGCCGTTGTAGGCAAAGAGAGATTTTGAAGGAAGAAATATCTCCCTTCTCATCCTTCCTCACCTCTCTCTTCACAGTGTGGGGGCAGCAGATGCATGACTTGAGCTGCTTTGTCTTAGGGAATGCCAATCAGTGCAGTCAACGACATCATTTAGCTTTTGGAGCATTGGTTTGGAGCACCTCAGTCATTGCTGCAGAGACCTGAGGCTGCAGCTCAAGGGTGTTTGCTATAGCACTTCCAAACTCCACGCCATGTTAGCTTCCACTCGCTCATCTCGATGCGTCCAACAGTGACACGGACAAGGTTCTGCAGCTGTGCCAGCCAGTCAGTGGCACCAGTCTGGCGCTGAACAAGCTGTGAAGAGCCAAGTGGGTTAACAGCTAGTTGTGAAGAGCAGGTAACTTCATGTCTTGTTTTGGCCTTTCTTTTGGGGAAAAGTTTACAGGTGAAAATGACCCTGTTAGGTCCTAATTGATCTCTGGTGTAATTTCACTGACAGCAACAAAGTTACTCCTGGGATGAACTTGGCTCTTAGAATATAATAGCTCACCAGCTAGATCTATTATACTGAGCATTAGCTAGATTTGAGGGGATTTGTGGATAGAGGCAAGACATTAGAAGCCTTTTTTGGTTCTGCATAAAGAGAAAAGCCCAGGTTGCTTGCACAGACACCTTATTGCACCTGTACAGAGAGGCTCGGATGAAAGGCTGAGCACTGAAAAAAAAATGCATGTTAAACTAGTGAGTAAAAAGAACAGTGTAAGGAAAGGAAAATGTTTGGAAAGAGGAACAAGAAGCGTGAGTGTCGCAGTCCTTGAGCGGATCGTCCTGCTTTTGCCCAGACAATATTTCTATCCGCTGGCAGAACATTGGCACGTTTATGCAAGTCACAGAAATTTGTATTTCATTGTTAGCGGCATTGTTTTTTTTAATGCCGCTAACTAGGAGCTTCATAAGCTCCCACGAACCTTGGCATGTGGTCCAGCACTTCTTAGCACAACATATCCTTCAGCACAGACAGGTGTCCCTGTCCAGTTTGAAAAAGCAGGTGTATTTTTGTCTTATGCCAGGATCATGGAACGCCTGTGAGCTAGGCACATAGATAAGTGAGGAGGGACATTTCAGTTTAAAAAGCATCATCCCTTTGACCGATCCTCCACTGGTATAAGTTATCAGAGTGCCGGTGAAGCCAGTGGCAGTTTGTGCCAGCTGGGGATTTATGCAACAAAGTGCAAGTCTTTGAGATCAGTGGGGCTCCATTCAGGTTCCAGGGTCTGCCTGTGGGGATAAACATGCAGGATCCAAGCCAATATTTGTGCCTTCAGTTCACCCACAGGAGCTGATCTCACCACCTAGCGCTCTGAGTGCGAGGCTCATTTCTTTGCTTCCCTAGCAAGCCTCTAGCAATCTGTGTGTTTATACATCCACAATGACAGGTTTCAGAGGAACAGCCGTGTTAGTCTGTATTCGCAAAAAGAAAAGGAGTACTTGTGGCACCTTAGAGACTAACCAATTTATTTGAGCATGAGCTTTCGTGAGCTACAGCTCACTTCATCAGATCACGAAAGCTCATGCTCAAATAAATTGGTTAGTCTCTAAGGTGCCACAAGTACTCCTTTTCTTTTTACATCCACAATGTATATCTGCATATTCTGTATAAAAATGTCCGAAAAACCCCATTCCACTGCACACACTTCTCCCCCGGGGCAACAAAGGAGAGCAGAAGCACAGGGCAGATGTTAGTCATATTCCTTATTGTATTACTGGAAGGCACTCAGCTATCACGGTGCTGAGTGGGATATAGGAACCGATACAGAACAATCGGAGCACTTGCATTTCTACCTGTCCAATGAAAGTAATAGATAATATCTAGCATATTTGTGGAGATAAGCATCATCAGCCCCATTTTACGGAGAGGGAAACCAAGGTAGGGAGATGAAGTGACTTGCCCAGGGTCACTCAGTAGGCCAGCGGCAGAGCGGGGAATAGAACCCAGGTCTCCTGAGGCCAAGTCCTGTACTCTGATAAGCCACACTGCTCCTTTTGGAAGGAGAGTAGATGCGGGATAGTGATAAAGCCATTCATGTCCCCAGCCTGTTGAGGTGCTTGAGTAGCTGCACAATAAAAATGGTGATAAAAGGTGATAAGTGTTATGAAAACAAGGTAAGCCAGTAGCACATAATGAACGTTATTAAGGTCTAACCTCCATCCTTAGAGGTTTTAAAGGCCTGGCTTGACAAAGCCCTGGCTGGGATGATTTAGATGGGGTTGGTCCTGCTTTGAGCAGGGGGTTGGACCAGACGACCTCCTGAGGTCTCTTCCAGCCTTAATCTTCTATGACTCCAATCCTGCGGTTCTTATGGAGGCACAAGTCTCCTCATTATTTCACTTTTCATGTTGTATCCTCTACCGGCGCAGAGCCAGGTCAGGGCCCCATTGTGCAAGTCACTGGCTAAATAAGGACTTTTGCTGATTCGAGGCTGAATAAAGGTCGCAGGACTTTCCCCTGGCCACAGAAACGGACAGTGTTGCTGCATCATGGCTGCAAATATCAGCCCATTTCTGGCACCAGCACCACTGAACAGCAGGCGTATCTTCCCCACCCCCTTTCCAGATCTGCGCCATCTGCTTAGAATTCTATTGCTTTGGCATTTCCTTGTTGCACTTCTTGCTCGTCCGGGTACTGTTCAGATAGGCAGCGTCTTCTGGGCCAGGAAAGGGGGAGAGCTGAGCAAGCCACCCGTTTCCTCAGAACTGCGGTAAATGAGAGGGCAGTATGTTGAAGGCAGAGTTTCTTTTCCTGGCCATTGTCCTGTATCCTCTCCTGCATGCTCTGAGGACAATCTGACGAGTAGGCACATAGTCGTGCAGACTGAAACAGGAGGAAGAATATAGACAGACCTCCTAGAGCCAGAGCTACTTATTCAGTTTTTACCCAGCTCTAAGCTAACTGTTGGTCATTGCATGAAAACCTCAGTATACGAAGGGTTCTGTATAAAATGCAGCTGGCTACAGTAAAGAGAAAGGAGGAAATCTTAGCCCTACTGAAGTCAGATGAATAAACAGCCAATAAAATCAACCGTGCTGGAAAGCCTTGCAGATTGCAAATGCAAAGGGGTGGTTGCTGACTGGGGTAGGATTCCCCTGGTGCAGGCACCATGGGGACAGCCATAAGCTCTGGTGTAGGGCGTGGGTCAGGTGCGTGGCTGGAGTAGGAGGGAGGATTCTAGGCAACTAAGATTCAGAGCTGCACAGTACCTCATTGGGCCAGCCCCAGAAGGCTGCCGTAACGTAGGCCCCCAGAGCCATCTAAGATATGCTGGGGGCCACAGAAAGGCATCTTAAACCCACTTTAGTGTCCCCTCTTCCTGAGCTGCGAGTTCTATGCTGCACCTCTTAGAGCACAGCTGCACAGAATCTCACCTCTTTCCCCTTTAAATCTCTAGTCAGTTTAACACCCAGATGTTTCCAGCTCTTATTAGCTACCTGTACATTCCAAGGAGCAGTCATAGCAGAGTGACAGCCTCTCAGTACGCTTTGCATATGTTTGTTATGTTTTCTAAAGATGAAACCACCATAAGAAGTATAGGGTGAAGACAAAACGGAAATCCGGAGTCTTGTTTCAGACTAGATGAGTGTAACCTTGGATACCGGACCCCGGATCTGCTGGAATATATGTTTAAGGACAAATTTGACAACCAGTGTGAGACTTGACTGAATCAGGAAATTGACTTAAAATTGAATTACCAGCATCTCGAGTCTACTGAAAGGACAGGTAAATAAATGCATGCTGGTCTTTGCACAGCTTAGGGACATTTCCTTGTGCTTCACTCACTGCTAAGAGAGAGCCATTAGCTTACAGGTGTTCTTTGTGCTTGATGCTTCTGAAGAAGGCAGAAAATTCCCCTATTTGTGTAGCATTGTATAGGGAAGGCGGATTTTGTTTTAGATACCGGACCATTTCCTGAGTTTACTGCCAATAAACCTATACAGAGCACTGCTCTAAAGATAATTCATCCATTGTCTCTGTCTTGTCTTAACCGTGGAATTTCATTAAGAAATGTGTAATTGCATTACCAATGTTATTGTCAGTTGTAATAGCATCCTCAGGCCCCTTTTCTTCTCCCATTTACATTAGTGTAAATTCAGAGTCACTCCATCAAAGTAAATGGCATGACTCTGGATTTACATGGTGCTAAAGGAGAGTAGGCCCAATGATGTTGGGAGATGGGAGTAATGTAAATGTGTAACACATGCACATGAAGTTTGTATACACTGGCAAAGGTCATCCGGCTCAGATTGCCTGTGCTTTCCTGCAGCTTTTTATACTCCTGTAAGTATCAGTGACCTGATGACTGCAATGAGAACAAGATTTCAAGGCTCACCCTGCTCATGTTAAATTGGAAGGAGCAGGAAATAATTAGGAACCAGGCGCCCAGTAAGAAGATAGGTAATTAGTTAATGTAACTTGTTACAGACCTAGATGACAAAATGCAGTTTAATTTACGTAAGTGATTTCTGGAGCTGTGAGACAATATTTATGCCATGGAGGATGAAGTAGCTTGATATTTTGGGGCCTACACAGCCTGGCAGTCTGAGCAGCTTGGCCTTCTGCATAGACCTTTCTATATAAGAGTATCCCCACTATGTAGCCCATAGAGCTGGCCTTCCTGCTTGTTTTATTACATCCTGTCTTTATTTACTAGGTTGCTGGTTGTTTTATTAGAATTGGCTTATATTTTGTATTGAATTACTTCATTTGACATAACTTCAAGTTAAGGGGATTTGATCATTTTATTTCATTTTTGTATGTTTGACTCTGGGCCAAGTAACTTGCCAGGAGGCTCCGCAGTCAGGACCTCTGAGCAATGCAGTCCACGTGGAACTGGCTTGATCAGAGCAGAGGCCACATGAGCTTCCCCACAGTTCATCCAGTGCACCTCAATCCTTCTTTTGCAACACCCCTGCTATTTTAGTTTGGGGGCTCTCCTGTGCAGCGTTTATTACAGGTTGCAGGATTGAGTCATAGGAAGGGGTGGAACAATGTGACAATAAAACCCCTGAGAGGCGGCTTGCAATACTGCTAGATCGACAGGGTTCTTTCACCTCTGGAGTAAGCAGCAACAAGTTTGCTCAATCTTTGGCATTACAGTGTAGTTACTAACCGTGTCACCAAACAGTTTGGGAACTATTCACCCACAGTCTCTGCCATAACCATACAGCTAAGGGTAGCCTAGAATTCCTTCTGACCTGTAAGGGGTTAAGAAGCTCAAATAATCTGGTTGGCAGCTAACCAAAAGGACCAATGGGGAAAGAAGATACTTTCAAATCTGGATGGGGGAGGCTTTGTTTGTGCTTTTTGTAGGGTGTTCTCTCTCCTGGGACTGAGAGAGGCCAGGCCGAAATCCATCTCCTCCAACCAATCCTGAACCACTCTCTAATATTACAGAAATAGTAAGTAAAGCCAGGCAAGGCGTGTTAGATTATCTTTTGTTTTAGCTTGTGAATTTTCCCTTTGCTAGAGGGAGGTTTACTCCTGTTTTTTGTAACTTTGAACTAAGCCTAGAGGGAGTTCCTCTGTGTTTGTGAATCTTTTGTTACCCTGTAAAGTTATCTTCCATTCTGATTTTACAGAGGTGATTCTTTTACCTTTTCTTTAAATAAAATTCTTCTTTTAAGAACCTGATTGATTTTCAGTGTCCTAAGACACGGGGGGTTGATCTGTGCTCACTTTGTAACCAATTGGTTAGGATATTATTCTCAAGCGTCCCCAGGAAAGGGGGCTTTGGGGGGACATTTTGGGGGAGATAGGGCTCCAAGTGGCCCTCCCTAAATGTTTGTTTAAATCACTAGGTGGTGGCAGCATACCGTCCAAGGACAAAAGGGATTTGTGCCTTGGGGAATATTTAACCTAAGTTGGTAGAAATAAGGTTAGGGGGTCATTCATGCAGGTCCCCACATCTGTACTCCAGAGTTCAGAGTGGGGAGGGAACCCTGATAGTCCCTGAAAGAATCGCTCCTCAGACCAATTGACTCTGCCTTTCCTTGACTACCGAGGTGAGGTGCTTGCTGAATTCGAGTAACAGCAGAATGAAACTTAGGCCTGGGCTATACTAAAGTTAGGTCAATGTAAGCGGCCTTGCATCAACTAACTGTGTAAGCATCTACACTTAAATTTCACTCCTGCCGGCGTAACTGCCTCTCTATGCTGACTCTACGCTGCTTGTGGAAGTGGAGTTGAGTCAAGGTCAGTGTAGGCAGGTCAACTCAGTATCCGTGTAGACACTGCATTGCTTATCTCAACAGTTATTGGCTTTCAGGAGTTGGCCCACAGTGCCCCACACTGACAGTACAATTGACACAAGCGCTCCTAGCGAGGATGTGCACTGCTGACAGAAGAAGCAAAGTGTAGACATGCACAAGTGAAGTAATTACTGCAGCGGATGTATGCCGACGTAAATTAGGCCGACTTAATTTGTAGCGTGGACATGTCCTTAGTTCATCCACATGATGTACCACTGCTTGGCTGTTTTCCCTGGTGTGAAGGTTCCCATATCGAGAGCCCTCTGTCTACTTTGTCTGGACTTAAAGCCAAGTGGAAAATAAAATCTTCTGAATTTTGGATCTGATGCCACTTTCTTCTCACTAAGTATTTGAGAGTGAGACCCTGGCCTCATTGAATTCAGTATGAGTTTTTCCATGGACGTCAGCATGGCCAGGATTTCACAGCCCAGTGTTAGAGGGGCACAGGGATGTGTAAGGGACAGATCCTGAGATGGTGTAAAGCATCTCTGTTAAAGTCTGTGGAGCTCCATTGTGGTCAGTTGAGCTACATGAACCAACACCAGATGAGGACTAGAAATGGAGCAAATGCAGCTGTTCCCTAGACATGTCTGAGCACCAAGGCCTGGCATGTCACCGCCCCTTTGATTTCTTATATATTGGCAAAGTCTATGACATTCTTCAAGCACTCTCCCCTCCCCTGCTTCCCGCCATTAAAGTGTTTTAATGCTGTTTCCTGTAAGGAAAATAAGAGATGATAAGATGGTGTATGTAACCCAGCACTCAAGAGCAAAGCTACAATTCTAAGCCAGTGCATGCAGTCCAGCACTCAAGAGCAACCCTACAATAGCCACCAGCTTGTGCAGGCAAGCACATACCAGCTGCCCCCTGATAAGCCAACGTGCGCAGGCCAGCAACCCTGTGATAACAAAGGAAACTAGTACGAGGAAGCCCAGCATTTGCAAGTAGCCCTGCAATAACACTACGTGCAATGTTCCCTACTCCTCTTTGAACAGCCCTGCAACGATGAGGGAGTTGTTAAGGAAACCAGTTTCAGTTTGCAGCTTCCAAGGTGTTATTGCAGACAGTGAGTAGAGACGTTAATAAAAAGCAGCAGCAGGAAATCCTTTGAATCCCACAGTCTGTTCTGTGTAGCTTCATCACTGTATTGTCCGAGCACCTCCCTCTGATCCACCTCCAGCTTTTTTCATTGTAAAATCCTCCAGGCAGCGCAGGGCTGTGTCACTTGCTGTTACCCCCAAGGAGGTGGGATGTCTTTTGCACAAAACAATCATGAAGATATCCCCAGGGCCTGCAGGGTGTGTCTACCCACCAAAGTTGTCCCTTTAACTATATGGGTGTACTTGATGGAGTACAGCTTCTCTCCCATGGGTGCAGTTATAGGGGTATACAATGCTTCTCCTGGTAGTTTATTCCTGCACAGGCTTTATACCAGTATAGCTGCATCCACATTAGGGGTAGCTCTGGTATAACCATCAGTTAACCCTGCTCCTCCGCCCAGCCATCGTCATAGCAACGTAAGAGACTCTGTAGACCAGGCTTCAGGGACAGACCTTTCCTAGCTGCACTGTAGTTCATCTGCGTCAGTCAAACATGGTCCACTCCTCGGTGAAACTAGGAAGTTACCCATTCTGGCAGAGTTGCCAGTATGCACTTAAGATCTTAGGCGACAGAGCCCGTGTCAGCTTGTTCACTTTCAAGGTTGCAAAAGGCTTCTGATATTGATATTGAGCCCTCCTGTCTTCATCCCAATCTGGGTTTCAGTAATGAGCTTTTTGGCTCACCGTTAGCCAACTGGAGTGTTTTTCATTCCAACACTAATACAGAGACAGCCAGGTACTAACACTTGGCAGCTCATATTTATTGACAGAGCTAAGGAGAAAGCGTCTTAGTTATATTTCAGTGATACAAATAAAATATAGGTTTCAGAGTAGCAGCCGTGTTAGTCTGTTTTCACAAACAGAAAAGGAGGACTTGTGGCACCTTAGAGACTAACCAAGTCATTTGAGCATAAGCTTTCGTGAGCTACAGCTCCGAAGTGTGCTGTAGCTCACGAAAGCTTAAAACAAAATATAGCTCTCTCTTTGGCTCTTCCCTTGGCTTTCGGCTGAAGCTTTAATGGTGCTTAGAAAGTTCTTGCATTCTGCCTGCTTCGCCTATAGCTTACTGGGGCTATGGCTACACAGTGAGGCTTTTAGCGTCGCGGCTGTGCGACTACACTTCCTCACAAGTATCAGTGGCTTTGTGGGCAGGAGCGCTCTCCTGCTGACAAAGCGCTGTTCACACCGGCGCTTTTCGTTGGTAAAACTTTCGTTGTTGGGGGGGGGGGGTGTTGGTTTTTTTTTTTTAACACTCCTGAACGACAAAAGTTTTGCCGACAAAGTGCCAGCGTAGACAAAAGTCACTAGTTTTTCCTCCATCTCTGTTCTTTTTGGTTGGGGGCGTGGCTTGCATTTCAGCTGAAAGGGAGCC